TTTTTTTTTTTTTTTTTTTTTTTTTGGTACAGGGATGGGACTCAGGACCTCATGTGTGCCAGGCAGGCACTATGCGGCTGCTGAGCTAAATCCCTGGCCCAAGCATGCTCAATTTTAAATTACAAGTATTTAAGTACAGATATTTAATAATAATAAAAATAACAATAACTGAACTCTAAGTGCTAGTGAGACTTTCTGCACTTAAAACATATGCTTACTTCAAGAAATGCTAACAAGGGTCCCTCTGCAAGGTTAACAGTGCTGGACGTGTGTCTGTGTGTCCAGGGTTTAATGTCTGGGAGTTGTTTACAGCTTGTGCACATTCTGACCCTTGTCTCTCCAGCTTCCTATAAAACTCAGGGCACTTCCCGCTGAGGGTGGAGGGCCACTGACTCAGTGACCTTTGGTTGGAATTTTCTCATCACAGGACTCCTGAAGATAAAGGTGCATATGACAGAGAGAAGCTGGCGGTCTGCAGAGGAGACAGAGACACTCGAAGGGCTGGGGTGGGAGAGCAAGCCCGCTAACACCAAGGCTCAGTGGGACATACTGTCTCCACTCCTCCATCAGACACCTGAAGATACCACTGCCTGAGCTCAGGGCTCACAGCCACCTCGGGAGCCAGCAGACACCAGAAGGTATCTGATTCTAGTCAGCCCGATGAGGGTCTCTCCAGTTTAAAGACGAAGAGACTGAGCTTCAGTAATCTGCCTGACATTGCTGGCCTTGTCAGTGGTGTGAAGCAGACCTGTTCTGAGCCCAGTCTACATAGTACCTAACCCAGTGCTAGTCCCACTCTGGGCAGAAACTCTGGGAGGACCGGAACCCAGGCAGGGTGAAGGTATAGCACAAGAGGAAAAAGGTCCTAGACACAGGCTGATGGGTCATGGGCTCAAATGAGGGAGGCTCCAACAAATCTCACCACTTCACCCATTAGATGAACAAAGTTTGACAACACTTTCTACGGGCAAGGCTAAGCAGACACGGGTGCATTCAACAGGCAGTGTCTGAAACTGCAAATCCTTTGCCTTGGCAATTTTGCTCCTGGAAGTTTACTGAGATATTTATATAAAATTAAAAGGCCACGTATGAAAGGTTATTTATGAAAACACTGAACTCCAGTGCTCATGAAATATAGGTCTGATGAAATAAACTAAGACACATTCCTACTATAGAGCAATATGCAACAACAAAAAAATGAAGATGCTTTGACATAAAAAGAATTCCTCCCAAAGTCTAGACAATGTACATATATACTACCTTTTATGGAAAGGGGCGGGTAAGAAATGAGGGAGAAAGTTAGAAAATTTATATATGATTTGTTACTGATGCTCTTAGGAGACTCTGAAAGAATATACAATAAATTAATAGTTAAGGTCACAAGGATGGGAACGAAGAACAGGGTGGCTGGGGACTGACTTGTTCAGTCACTGGGGCAGAGTCGGAGCTGCACCAGCCCTGAGCCCTGCTACATCCAGCCCCCAGAGCCACATTCCTGTCACAGCTCCCAAAACTCGTCCGACTGCCCGTGTGTCCTGTGACTACGCCCAGCTCAGTTCAGAGCTAATCACACGCACAGGATGGAGGAAGAGCGGAAGGGGGCGAGGGGCACTCACTCTTGCAGGGACTGGTCAGAGTCACCAGCATTTGCTGCTCCCAGATCCGAGTCATAGGACATGGGCTCCTCGGAGTGGTCTGGACTCTTGAAGCCACTCTCCTGGAGCAGGCAGCTATCGGAGTTCAGGCTGCAGGACAACTGTGAGGAACTGGCTGTGTCCAGGCTGAGTGAGGAGGCTGTGAGCTTCCTGTTTCGCCGGATCTTATGGCCTGAGTGCTGGACTTCGATATCCTCTGAGCCGGAGGAGTGGGAAATGGAGTCCAGAGACTCCTTACGCTGGAGTTCTGCACTAGAGGGAGGGAGGGGGTCGAGCTCTGAGAGTGGACAAAGCCCGGAGAGGGCCAGTGGGGTGAGTGTCCACTCGTTCAGGACAGCGGACTTGTAAGAGAGCTCGAAGGACAAGGACGTGAGTCCCTGCAGGAAGCTCAGGAGGAACTCGCCCTCCTCGGCGTCACGCAGCAGTGCAGTGGGCTGGTAGTACTCGCACAGCCTCGCCCGCTCCTGGAGGAGCAGCTTCAGGTAGCACTCCATCAGGCCGTCATTGAGGGCCAGCCGCAGCCAGGCCCGGCAGCGGCCCACGTCCGTGTTGACAAAGGCCAGGTGCTCTAGGTCCGAGATGACGTGTCTGGGAGGTAGAGCAGACTCGTTTCAGAAACTACCTCAGGTCACTGAAACACTGTTTTATTTATTACTTAGCAAGAACCTCGGGTGACAAAGGCAAGTGTATGTAGGCACAAAAAATTCCTTGGTCATGGTGTTTCAAGGGAAATACAGAAATGTCAAGCTATAGTCCTCAACCTTTGAGGTGTAATGAAGGACAACTGTCACGTTCATTATAACCCCTTAGTATCCCCGCTGTCATCTGCTGACCAAGATATGTGTGCTGAGCCCCCAAACACTTTCTGTAAAGGGCCAGAGAGTAAACACTTCAGGCTTTGTAGGTCACAGAGAATCCACCCAGCTCTGCCAGTCTGGTCCAAAGCTCACTAGCCCTGGACTGTGGAACAGCCTGAGAGTGGAGAGTCCTAGGTCAAGTGGCAGCTTGCAGACAGCCCTTTCTATAAGACATTCCAGCTCTCCCTCACCCTATCTCTGAGCTAGAACCAGCTATCTGTTGGCCTCACACAGCCAGGAGAGCCAAGGGTCCCACACTCAGAAGGTCCTCCCCCAACAAAACCTCCCTGCTGATCTCACTTGTGGGTGACAGCTTTCAGGAGGGGCCAAAAGACAGGCTGAGGTAGAGGCTTCTGATGCGCACTTTTCTTCCATTTTCCTCCAGTCTCTGCATGGACATGCTTGGCCTGCAGGCCGTGGATAAACACAGCCTCCAGGGCACTGCACATGGTGTTGGCATCTCCATCCTCACTCGTGACCACCGTGTCCAGGGACACGTACTGCTTCTGCAGCGCCTTCACAGACCCCACCAGCTTCTTCTTGATGACCTAGGCAGTGCCGAGCAGAAGGCAGGCCTTCAGAAGAGAATCCCACGGACAGCCCTGGAAAGTTCAGACATAGAAAGTTAAGTGAGTTCATGATTTTTGTTATATGAAAAACCCCAAAATAAATCAACTGTAAAACAGGCAGATTTCTTGGAAGAGGGCAGGTGGGTCAGGAGAAGGGGAGAAAGGGTAGGGAAAGGAGGAGAAAGGGAACCGAAAATGACCAAGATATACAGGAGCCAATCCCCATAAAGAGTGTAAATAACATGTATCGCAAACATATAATAATAAAAATGGGGAAACGTAACGTGAGAGTCGAAAATATACATAAATAAGGCTGGGGATGTAGCTCATTGGTAATACCTCTGGGTTTGATCTGCAGCACCTGTGCCCACACACACACACACACACACACACACACACCCACCCACCCACCCACCCCTATGTAGACTTTTGGCTGCAAAATCAGCATGTGTTAATCATGACAATGACAATGCATAGAGAAGAAAAGGAAAGCCACACAGTAGGCAGAGATAACTAACAGTATTGTTGCTCTGCATACCCCTCACTGTGGAATCCTTTTGTTTTCCAGACAGAGTTCCAGGAAATTATAGCCATATCACTTTGTGTTTCAAGGAAGGCACCATCACAGGAATGGCTAGGAAGCTTTGGTTAGGACGGAAGTGAGGCTTAATATGACCAAGAGTCTGCACAGAATCAATAATCTAAGAGGTAAATAGTGCTGCTTTGGAAAAAATAGAAATATCAAGCAAGGGCTGGGGTAAATGTAGCTCAGTGGTAGAACATGAGCACAGGCCCTGGTTGATTACCATCACTGTTGGGGAAAAACAAAAAACAAAAAACAAAAAAACCCAAAAAAACAAAAGCCAAGAGAAAAGGACCATGGCTACCAAGAGAAATCCTTCCTAGGGGCCAGACCTGGTGGTATATGCCTGTAATACTAGCACTCTGGGAGGCTGAGACAGGAGAATCAGTAATTTGAGCTCAGCCTGGGAAACCTGTCTCAAAATAAAAAAAAGAAAAAGTGGTACATGAGTTGGGGAATGGGATAAAATTTATTTAAAAAAGGAGTGGGGTGTAGAGCTGTAGCTCAGGGAGAAGGCCCTGGGTCCAATCTTTAGTACTGTGCACACAAGACTGACCAATCCTTCCACCCTGGGAGCCAATGGCCTACATTCACGGTCAGCCCAGTCACATCAGACATTTCCCTTATTCTCTCTGAGCATGAACTCCTGCATCTGTTAAATGGAAAGAAATAACACTTCCTGAACTATAGCACTTGGGGCATTGCTTCTGAGGGCAGAAGAACACCCCCACTCTGCCCGACTAAACTCAGGGAGTGCTGAGGATATTTCCAGCTTTTTAAATTTTATTTTTGAGATAAAGTCTGGATAACTTGCAAAGGCTGACCTGGAATTTGTGATCCTCCCGCTTCAGCCACCCAAGTAACTGGGATTACAGGCATGCACCAAAACTGGTCTTTTAAATTTACCCATTACCCTCAAACAACATGGACGTTCTCAAACTGTAAATGCTGGTTAAAGGAACACATTACAAAATGTACATAAAGTCCTTTGGGATTATAGAGTAAAATTACTCAATCATAATGATGTCAAAATTATGTTTGGAAAAGGACTAGAAGGGATTGCCCAAAAACTGAGTTTGAACTGAGTGATAAAAGTTATGGATATTTACTTTTACACTGATTTATCCCAAACAAGGAAGTTAACTTTTTTCTTTTTTTGCTTTTTGTTGACTCTCAACAACTCTCAATCCTGCTTCAGCCTCCAGAGTGCTGAGATTACATGTGCCACGACATTTGGCTTTGGAAAGTTAAATTTTAAAAAATTAACTTAAAAAAATCAATGAGATATAATTCATACACCACAAATGCACTCATTCAAAGCACTGAGTACAGTGGTTTTTAGTAAATCAGAGAACTATGCAACATTCACCACTGATTTTAGGAGGCAATTTTCATCTCTCCTCAAAAGAAACAGAGTGTATTGGTGTTACCCGGGGCTGGAGGAGAGGGGAACTGGGGTGACAGCAGTCTGTCATCTGTTTTTGTCTCTGGACTTGCCATCCTGGACATCCACAAAAGGTTTTGCAAAAAAGCTAGTAGGTGACAGGTGGAACCGCACCCTCTGGTGGCCAGCAGGGCAAGGTACACCTCTGAGGAAGCTCTGATCTGTGCAGCAGTAGAGGGAGGAAAGGGAAATAAATCCTGGCTTCTCAAGGAGCCACCTCAGGCCTCTGCTGAGGGTCAGCCAGAAACCTACCTGATTCTCTGTCTCTCTAAGGAACTGACAGAGCCAGTCCAGTGTGCCTCGAACAGCCCAGGGCCTGCACAGGGCAGAAGGGGCTTTGGTGAACTAGTCACCAACAACCGTGTTTGAAAACCCCAGAAAACGGCCAATGTTCAAAGATGGATGTGAGCCACCAACGTATCATACTATTGAATCAATAATCCAGCATCCAGGAATATCTGTTCTGACCAAATCAGTGCTATGACCAAACTGACCACTTCATAGCCTAAGAGTACAGGGCTGAAGGTCTGAATGGAAACCCTTGGTTTCCAGGTAGCATACCTTTACACCCCGTGTTTTATGAAGTAAACTGCAATTTCACAGCAAATAAGCCCATGTGGAGAGGGCAGGATCTCCTCTAACCTCCTTTCCCTTCTTTTCTCTTAAGTCCTCTTTCTGGGCAGTAGGAGGCCAGTGTCCGGCCACCCTTTGTGGTCCCACCCCATCTTCCCCCCCACTTACCGGGATGGTGGCCCGGGGGTCCAGTCCATTTTCGACCACTGAGAGCATTTCCACTCAGGAGCAGCTCCTCCGAGACTCACATGACACCTGTAGGGGAAGATGGAGGCCACATGAGCATGCTCCCAATTTGCCGCAGCCACAGTCCCTCCCATAGATGGCAGGCAGTCAGCCAGCTCACTCAAACTGCAGCCCAGAGGCCTCTGAGGGACACGAAAGTAAAACTCAAGAGTAGATTTGAGGAAGGAAGCAAGGAAAGAAAAAGCAGACGCTCAGTCCCGGGGAGGCGAGGAGCCCTGTGTGCGGGTGGTGTGGTTCAGGACTCTGGACACATTGCACGGAGTGCCAGCCCCACGGCATAGGGCCCTGGTGGGGAGGGAACCAAGGGCTGACTGAAGGTACAGGGGAAGGTGACCAGCAAGCAGAGCAGTCACATTCACGGCCCGACTCCTGTCCCAGTCCAGGGATGGCCAGCCCTGCTGGGGAAGCCCAAAAGCAGCTTCAGCTTCTGCTTCTCCTTTGGGCTGTGAGGGTTTCGCATGAGCAGCACAGGGAGGAGTCTAAATGGGCCAACACAGCTTCTGGTCACAATTGGTCACTAATCAGCTGGGCAAGTGAAGCAGGTTCTGACCTCTTGGGTGCAGAGTATGGACGTGGAGCAGCACAGGACTCCTGCTTGCTATAAATAGCACCGGTCATCCTAGGGCAGTGGTTGTGAACCTATGGCATGTGTGCTGTTTATTATCACTGAACGTTCTAAAAGGCTCGCCATCACTGTTCTAGTGGATGTGGCCACCCACATCTATGAGCAAAGAATGCCATTTCCCAGAAGCCAGTCTAATGCTTTATTCTGTTTGAGGCAAGGTCTCACTATGTAGCCCAGGCTGGCCTTGAACTTGCGGTGATCCTCCTGTCTCAGCCTCTCAAGCACTGGGATCACAGGTGTGCGGACCACCACACCTTGGTGAGTCAGTCTAATGCTAAGTCGGTCAGAGTAGCTGGCTTCCAGTCTGAGCCTGAGCCCGAGGGTACTGGCAGGTCTGGCTCCACCCCAGCAACCAGGGCTCCACAGTACTTCTAGGGTTGCTGAGCATGAGAACTGAAAATAAACCAGGTGTGGTATAATTCCAGCACTCTGGGAGACTGAGGCAGGAGGACCGTCAAGTTAGACCGGGCTGGGTGACTCAGCAAGATGCTGTCTCAAAATAAAAAAAAATGAAAAGGGCTGGGGATGTAGCTCAGTGTGAAGGCCCTGGGTTCAACTCCAGTAGCAGAGTGTGGAAAAGGAGGACTTAAAGCGGAACCTGCTCAGAATTAATTATGGCCCCAAGAAGTTAACAAGAACAAAGGCATGTGACACAGACTGCTTCATTTATGTTCCTACTCACCCGAGGAGAGCCATTTCATTATCTCCACCTGACAGATAAGGACAGGGTGAACTGATACAGATACCACGGCTGACAGTATCCTGCCTCCACAGCTGCCCCCAGCCTAAGGGAGGCCCAGGCTCCTGAGCAACTGCCACCCTCAGAGACAGGACCTCAGCGGGAGCCCAGGAGGGTGCGGGACAGAGGCCAGTCTTCAGGAGAGGGCGGAGGAGGGAAGTACAGTGGCCCTCAGTGGAGCTGCTGGCTCAGCCTGGCCTGGGGCTTGGGGAGAGGAACAGGGCCCAGGGAGTCGGGCCGTGCAGAGGGAGGGAGGTGTGTGGCCATGCAGAGTGGACGGCCCTAAGGATGGCCAGCAAGTGCCCTTGGCCCTGGCCACCTGCCTCGGTCTTCACACTGCCCCTTCTCATCAGGAATTCTCAGGAACTCTGGAGCGCAGCCCTGCACTCTAGGCTTCAGGGTGACAAGAGAAGGGACGTGGTGTGGTCAGTCAGTCACTCCTGGCAACATGCCTAGTCCTGAGGTTTGGTTCCTGCTGGGTTACCCTGGTGCAGCTCTGCAGGCAAAATCTAGCTTCTCTGGCTCCAGGGCTTGGGGCTCCAGCCCTGTCCACAATTCTCAGAGCCTAAGCCTCTCCCTCAGGCCATTCTAAACAGCTGCCCTTCCCCAAACAGCAAAAAGGACAGGACGCTAGAGCCTAGATAATTACCTAAATAATACGCTGGGTTCATTAAGGCTTCATTAATTAGCTGGAAGTAAGAGAGTGTTCATTACAAAGGGCGACCAGACAGTAGGTGCTCTGGCAAAATAACAGTCTATTAAAAAAACAAAGTAAACCGAAGCTAGGAGAAGTCAGAGCAGGCCAATAAGAGACAAGTAACGACTACTGAAACTAAGTGTCAGGAAAGCAACTGATCCTCAGGAGAACCCACAATATCCCCGTGACAATTTACAAAACAGGACAAAGACTTTGGGATTCAACCACCGTTCAGGACACCATGAACTTTCCTTGTAGGAAGCCAAAGCATCCTACTTGTCTCAGTGTGTTTTGAGGGTCAGGAGCGTGACCATCAGTGACGTAAGATCTCACTGGTGGGCCTAGGCCGAGGCACTGGATCTCGTGATTGTGGGGTCAGTGCTGCACCCTCTGATCCCAAGTCCACCATCCTATGTACTGGTGTCACTTCCTGTCCTGAGAGTATTCTTCACTGACAGCAGAAACTCACAGTTCCGAGGAGACCTATGCTGAGGGGAACCTGAAGAGAACATGGTCCACTCTCTCTGGAGGCGCTGCAACATTACAGGGCAAGTCTGGCAGGGGAAGATGATGCCACACATGTCTACCCCCCACCCCCCAGCACTGATTCCCCATTCCCAGGTTTCCAGGAGAACAAACAAGCTTCTCTGATCTCACTCTCCAACCTCATTTCCTCCTCAGAATGATCCTGAAAGAGATGGTTGCCCCGACTTAAGAGGGGAAACTGAGGCTTCACAGAAACAGGCCTCAAGTGAGGAACAAAATTCTTGGGACTCCTTACTCCTTTCACTACATAAAACCATGTCAGGTCTTTGGCTGGAAAACTGAGAAAGTTTGCCAGCTCACAGACTCTTCAGATTTCTTCAGAAGCTCCTTTTAATTGGAGAAAGACAGTCTTGCTGGTCAGATTTCTAGCCCCACCCAGTGAAGCCCAAGTCTTTCCCTTAGTCCCACATTTCAGAGTTTTCCTCTCTTAAATGTTCTCACACATGAGAAGGGATTGTCCTGTTGGCTGCTTGTCCTTCTGTGTACACAATGTCCAACTGAATCCACTTCTTCCGGAGATCAAGAAAGAAAGCACAGAAGGGCTTGGAGGAGACACACCGAACAGGAAGAGATGGAAAGCCTGTCTTTACTACTCTCAGAACACTCAGTCCAGCAGTAACAGCACCTGCTTCTCTTTGGCAACTTCTCAGCCACTTTCCACAGCCTTCCCTCTTTTGTCTGAAGCAGTACCTGACCGTTAGGGACAAAAAGCCTGGCAGTGTTGCCATCCAGCTGCTGTCCCAACTGATGAGTCATGTCATTTCGGCAGGAAAGGATGACGACATCATCTTCTGATTCAGAAAGGCAGCTGATGTGCCAGACAGGCTAGTGCTGCCTGAGTAAACAGCACCGCCTTCCATTCGAGGAAGGCTGGGCTCTGGACAGGGATCCTGGCAGGGGTGGGGCGCCGGAGAGGGAGCAAGAGATTCAATCACATGTGAAGGGTGAGAACTTCCAGCCTGTGATTGAAGGCAGAACAATGCTAGGTATCCTTCTTTCTTCTCTCTAATCTTCCGTCCGATAACAACCATTGCCCTATGTTCTGTCCCAGTTGCTGAAGGATTCTAACAAGGAGCAAACTCAGAGATTGAAAGCAGGAACTGTAGTTACCTTCAACTTATCACTACACTTCTAGCACAGTAAGTCCCCAACTTATATACATTTTAGTTGCAGACTTCCACAGCTGTAACGTATAGATTCATTTTGTTGGATTATGAAAATTCTCCTGGAAGCTGGGGAATTACTGTGCCTAGAATGGTGCTTGGCACACAATGGTGCTCAAAAATGCTTACTGATTGACGGATGAGTAAAATAAAAATAAAGCTGAGGGTGGATATGTCCATTTCATGGACTGTGTAAGCTGAGGTAAACCACTCTGGCGTGGTGGAGCTCCTGTGAAACGCCTGCCATTAAACCAAGCTGAAATCCATCTAGATAGTTGCACCGTAGCAGAAGACACTGAAGGTAGAACTGTATTCATCTTTCAAAGGCAGAGCCTAAGGTGGCAAAGATAAGGGTCCTCTGGATTCTTTAAAATTAACTTTGGGGCTAGGGGAGTATTTAAGAGGTAGAACTCTTTCTTGCCATGTCAGAGAAACTAGCTTGATCCCCAGCACTGAAAAAAAGCCCAAACAGAAAACAACTATCAAATGACTGATCTTCCTGATGGCAGGTTACCAGAATTCCAAGGAAATGTGCACAGAACAGCCTCCCAGAGATTAGAAATGCTGAGCACGGGGCCTGGGTGCCAGGGGAACATCCCTCTGTCTCAGCTACTATGAGAAAACTTGGCTTCCTGTGTTCATGGAACCCAAAAGGCAAAAAATTCAATGATCCAGCACACACAAAGAGCATGCAATTCAACAGTGCTGTGCTTCACAATGTGTAAGGTGCCTCTGACACCCACTGTGTCCCCTGTGTTAAGCACTGAGACCAATCTGCAGTCAGCTCTGGCAGAAAGGAGCCCCGGGAGAGGGGTCCTCACAAGTGCCAGGACAAGACACATGCCACAGGAACATGGCTCTGCGATCACTGTCAACCCCACACGGTGGCAACTCCCTGAGGTTCTCCAGGGGAAGAGCGCCAACCAAACGGAAGCGATGCCTCCCATCGCCCCAGGAGTCAGCTGGACGAGTGGCCATCTCTCACCCTCTAGGTATTTGAAAGACATCTACCATTCCAATACCCTGTACAAGCAATTTAAGATGAATGCGGCGGCGGTGACGGCAACAATGTGACAACAACCAGAAAACCTGTCACCCATGACTCGGGGCTGGGACCTCGACTCCTCCACACTCCTTTACCACCCGGGGGTGTGCACACACCACTCAACAGGCTCCCCTCTAACTGCCCAGCTGAGCCAGGGCCTAGACCTGCTGCGGAGGGGCAGTTGGTAGGGTCGGTAGGGGCTAGGTGCTGCATGT